ACAGAGCTGGGAAAGGGGATGTTCCCCAGCATGTCCTCCAGTCTCCCACCACAATGGCGTATAATCCTCTGAAGAAACCTCTCCCATGTTAAGGAAAAGCCCGGGTTAAAGGATGGGAGAGACAACCTTTGAAAGAGCTGTTCAGCAGAACATCGATCTCCGAATTTCCACAGCGCCGTGGCAGCTCCAGGATTTCACTGCACGCTCGCTCCCCGCTCTCTTCGCCCACCCCAGCTTCCGCCGCCTGTTGGGGTCCTTCCACCACAGAGAAACTGTACTTCATTGCTTTGACTTTCTCGGGGTATTTCCAATGCAAATAGCACTCCTTTGGGAAAAAATCCCGTTTGACAGTTACAGGCTCGCTCTCCAGCAGGTTCCTAAACCTGAGGGCAACTGCTAAAATGCAGCTCCCCTGCCAGACCTCTTCGAAAGGGAGAGAGGGAGAGGAAGAAATCAGGGGTTTATTGTCTGCTTTAGATCTTCGATTGCATCCAGCAATGCCTTGGCTCGACAGATTCTGCACCGGTGTGGGGAGGGGTCTCCTTCCGGCTGCACAGCTGCGTTTCACTTACGCTTTGTCCTTGTTCTTCTCTGATTTTCTCTGCAATCTGGAAGGTTTTTCCTGCCGAGATCCTCTTTATTTTTCTGTTCTCAGTAATTCTCGCCTCGCAGTCCTGCCTGCCTGCCCGTGACATGCCCATTTAGTTAACTGAATTACTTATCACATCCTGCTCACCTGCCCCCACCCTTTGCTGTATGGCCAGAGAGAAGAAACCTTATGGTTGCTGAGGAGAGGGAAGCTTTTAGAGTCACCGTTCCCCAAATTTATACTGTTTCTGTCCTGTTTTCAGTTCTAAAGCGAGGTGTGTGACAAAAGAGCAGGATTCAAACCTCAACACAAATCTAGAATTTTAAGAGAGAGATTTGGCGGGTGAGTCCGAGTTCAAAGCACTCCAGGAACACAAATAGTGAACAGGTCTGAGGTTTAGGAATCAAGTCTTTTAGCCACTTTAGGCAGCAGCTGGAACGTGCTGAGGAGGCTGAGCTCACTCCTCGTTAACTGTGTTTGCCTTGGTGCTCCTGGATGGGCTTCAGTCAAGGGCATCTCTAGGAGGCCCAGCCTGCACCTCCTCTCGCCCACTGCGGCTTCTCTTTGCCGGGAAGTTCATTTACTCGTCAGAGAAAGGAGCCTCCCCGCCCTTGGGCGCAGAGAGGATCATCCGCTTCAAATACTTGGCATCTAACCAGCCTGTGGTCCCCCTTCATCTAAAACCCAAACCCTCGCAAGAAATCACACAGTACCAGATCAGCAGAATCATTTGTTCCTGCGGGCACAACACTGCTCAGCCACAAGGGCAGGGAAGGGCTCTGGGGGCGCGACGTTCCTGCTGCCGGCAGCGGGATACCTGCAGAGGGCAGAGACCTAGCAACGTAGTTTTGCACTGTGCCGTGGGGCTGGGCTCAATGTGCAGCCACAATGAGCAAGCCCCCCCCCAAAAAAGAGGTTGTCTTCTGAGAAAAGGCCCATTGCAGCAGGAAGTAAGGATTTCCCAGCTGCTGCGGTGGGAACTTCGCAATTCTCACTGCAATCTTCCCAAAAGTCCTTTCTCTCCGCAAGGTCTGGGTTTCCTGGATGGGTGCTCACAGGGCAGCTTGTGCAGAGCTGAAAGGGGTACGTGAGAGCATCTGAGCACGAAAAATACGTGGCTCAGCTCTGGCGCTCAGCCCACCGTCACGCTGAGTCAGCTGGGAGGCCGTGCTGGCTGCGGCAGGGCCAGGGCTCTCCCGTCTGTCCCATCACCAGCCAGCGCGCTCGGGTGCGAGAAGCCCTACAGAGCAGCACGGTCCGGGATAATTTGAGGGAGGGGGCTGGCCAGGGCAGAGGAGGGGGGGAAATGTGCCTCAGACAGACAGAGCCCAGCATTTCGAAAGGCAGAACTGGAGCACAGAGAGGGCATGAGAACCACCCTCCTCCTCCTCCACTGCTGTCTGTCTTTGTTTCCTTTTATCTTCCCTCAGCAGCTTAAATAGCTGCTGACTGTACGTCAGCGCCGTTTGGAGAAGAAGGGTGGGTTAATGGAAGCCAAACCTCA